AACTAAGAAGAGATTGAAAACAGAGTGCAAAGGGTTTTATTCATGTTTGATATATTTCAGTTATTAATTATATTGATGAACGACTGTTCCCAGGGAAAACCAACCGGCACGGGTTAAAAAACATTTTACCAACGGCAACCCTTTGCCTACTCGAGGTGCACGTACATTGCCTATACGAGGTAGCAGCCCTTCGAACGTTTTAACCGCGTAATTAGCTGTGAGCATCCCCCCGTTCGCGAAATTACTTTTCAACCGCGGATACCGATATTAAATCTACTTGTCGGTGGAGTCGAGTGCTTGTACGCGTTCCCGTGTACCGTTTTTCCTTTTCATTTGGGGAAAAGTGTCTGCAACTGATGTACAGATACACCGCTGACTTTTCCCTCTCTGAAAACTGAAAAACCAGTAAGCCTCTAGCTTCTAAAAAGAGAGTTTTCTCTGCTATTCTGTTATATTACCAATTTGTATTTGTCATTGTTAATTTCTCAAACAAATCTGATATGAGGTGTTAAGATCGTAGGTAATAAATGTAAGGTGAGGGGTTAAATTACTGGGAATTAAAGTATGGAAGCCTGGGTCTTTTTTAAAGTGATGACTTCTAGTTAGGATGCCAGTATGAGAGGGGGTGGTGGAGGCTGGGAAAGATAAGAGGGAATACCGAGAAAAAGAAGATTTATAGGAACGGGTAAATTGGCTTAAATCGTCTCCGAAGACCGCGGCAACGGTGTCTTTATCCATTTAAAAGCAGCCTCTCCCCCTTATCTTTTTCGCCTGACAAAGAGAAGAAAAAAGAGAATCGTCAATGGCCGCCCTTCGTCGATTAATTAATCGAATGCCCTTTCCGGCTTTCACGATTTTCCCGCGGATCACAATTCCTCTTCCAATTTACTGAACATTTCATAACGCTCCAGGTGGTTCTCCTTTGTCCCTTGTTTAAACACTCGGATGTCCGATAAATTGTAATTTTGTATCGAATTAATCTACGCGATAAAATTAAGAGACGCACTGTTATCGCACTGCGCGAAATCTTGTGCTATCAAGGTGCAGGATTTGACGTCGTTGGTAAGTTCAAACGAACATTGTTCAAATCTCATACGTCGTCGTACGCGGCGATTTCATTCGTTTAGATGTGCAAAAAGTATAAAAGTTTCCAAGCAGTAATCCAAAAATCTCTATAGCACTAAAAGTGAAATTTAGAAAAAAAATTGAAGAATTTTATAGAAATCTCAGTCTAGATTTTTTATCATGCAAAAGTTTTGTATAAAAATTCACAGACTACTAGTAAATAATTTATTCTCAATGTTCGCTGGAATGGTCAGCCACGAAAGAGGAGGATGAATGCGACGTTATGGAAATATGTAACGCAACACGACGGATGGATGTCCACGGCGCTCAAACTGAGGG